TTTCTGGGAGGGAGGCAGTGGAGAGAGGAAAGACTTTGTAGTAGGTTGATATTAGACCTTGTTTGAATCAAGTGCGCTTCATCTTTAAATGAACACCGTGACCTTGCTTATTGCTTATAATCAGCTGTTGTCAAACATGCCAGAATTCAGCCAGCACCATGCACTGAAGCAGGATGTGGGCCCATAAAACTGGATCAAATGCACGTGTGTTTAAATCTGGGTAGTTGCTCATCCAGGTGTCCACTTGCTCAAAACTGCACAGTTTCATCTACTAACAGTTTAATTTAGTGAAAAGCATCCTTGTTTTGGTGGCATCAGGTGAGACTGTCTCTTGATCCAGGCAGGAATCCAAAGAAAACAGTATTGGAAGCATCAGTTATCTTGGGGTCTGTGTCCCCATGAGCTAACAGGTTACTGTGCTCTGACAAGTATATTCTGATCAGGTTTTTTGTGGATAAATGGTTTTTAATGGAAAGTACTTAAAAGTTGTATTGCTCCAGTGAGAAAAGCAGCAGTATTCCCAGTCAGGGAAAGCACAGTGGCTTGGGAATCACAGGATCATGGAATCAACCAGGTTGGAAAAGCCCTTCAAGCTCATCCAGCCCAACCATTCCCAGCCCTGCCAAGGCCACCACTGACCCCTGGCACTGAGGCCTCGGCTCCACGGGCTGGGAACACTTGCAGGGACGGTGACTCCAGCCCTGCCCTGGGCAGCCTGTTCCAATGCCTGAGCACCCTCTGGGCAAGGAATTGTTCCTCAGCTCCAGCTAAACCTGCCCTGGGGCAGCTTGAGGCCGGTTCCTCTTGTGCCATCCCTTGTTCCTTGGGAGCAGAGCCCAGCCCCCTCCTGGCTCCATCCTCCTGTCAGGCAGTTGCAGAGAGCGATCAGGTCCCCCCTGAGCCTTCTCTTCTCCACACTAAACCCCCAGGTCCCTCAGCCCTTCCCCATCACACTTGTGCTCCAGGCCCTGCTCCAGCTCCATTCCCTTCTCTGGCCCCGCTCCAGCACCTCAATGTCTCTCTTGCAGTGAGGGGCCCAGAGCTGAACACAGGGTTCGAGGTGCAGCCTCCCCAGTGCCCAGCGCAGGGGGACAGTCCCTGCCCTGGCCCTGCTGCCACACTGGGGCTGGGACAGAAAGCCTGGCTGCTGAGCTGGTGCATTCAGAGTTTGCTTGAAGCCATTTATGTATTTGTTTATCCAGTTTTTCCATGATGATGGCAAAATAAGTTCCTTGGAAGGAGCTTGTGGACGATGTTTTTTCCTATCCAGACATTTTTAGTTTGCTTCAGTGTACCTCAGCATCTTCGTCCCTTCCTTACTGGTCGTATTTGAATTGCTGCTATTTTGGGATGATTCTAATATTACCATCTGGGTTGTAAACAAGGCTGGACAACAGCAATATCGAACTCCAGCAGCCTTTTTGGGAGGATCGTGAGCCTGAAGGTGATGTGGCTTTAGCCAAAACCCTAGTAGGGTTGTAACAGTCTCTCAACAGTGCTTCTGCTGTCCCACAGGCTTGAGTGCCTGGATAGGAGACAGAAGCTGGGACACCTCTATTCGTTGTCCAAATTGTATTTAGTTTTCTGTCCACACTGTTTCATAGAACCCCAGCCTGGTTTGGGTTGAAGAGACCTTAAAGCTCCTCCAGCCCCAACCCTTGCCATGGGCAGGGACACCTTCCACTAGAGCAGGTTGCTCCAAGCCCCTGTGTCCAACTCCCTCGTCCATGCTGAACCAGGCACTAAGGGGGGGGCCAGCCACAGCTTCTCTGGGCACCCTGTGCCAGCGCCTCAGCACCCTCACAGGGAAGAGCTTCTGCCTCAGAGCTCATCTCAGTCTCCCCTCTGGCAGGTTAAAGCCATTGCCCTTGTCCTGTCCCTACATCCCTTGTCCAAAGCCCCTCTCCAGGTTTCCTGGAGCCTCTTTCGGCCCTGGAGCTGCTTTAAGGTGTCCCCTTCTCTTCTCCAGGCTGATGGCACAGCTTGTCTGGGTCCATGGAGCAGTTACCCAGCCATGTGTCTGGGACCACTCTGTGGCCTGTGTCCATGCTCCCAGCTCTCTCCTCCTGTCAAACTAAACAGGTTTCCATGAAGAGAGTGTCATAAAGAGGTTTAAATTCCATGACTCCACTTATGGGGTCAGAATGTTTTGAATATATTTTATTGTGCTCTACAGCTGGTTACCTCTTTCTCCCTGCTGTTTGCCCTGGGGCTTTGGGGTCTGTTTTTGAGGGTTGATGTCCTAATTCTTCTAATGTAGTTTGAAAATATCTTCAGGATGTGCTGTTCCTTTTCCACAAATGTATTGCAGACACACACTGAAAATATCTGTGTTCCTCCTGTCTTCTTCCTTCTGCACAGATTTATGTTCATGGCATGTGGTCCAGTGCCCTGCTCACCGTGTAAGCTGCTACTTTGCTCAGTGGTTTACCACTAGATGCATTAAATGAATGTGCTTTATCTAGTGTTTGTGCTTGGGTTGTAATGATTTTGCCTGCTTCCAGGCTCTAAATAAGTAATACAACAAAAATGGCCCCAGAATGCAACTTGCTGCCAGTAACCTTCTGTTCTGGCATCCTCGGTTGTGTCCTGAGCTATTGAGGTTGAAGGACAGGGATTGTGTATTGCCCTTGAGCATCTTAGAATCCTAGAATGGGTTGGGTTGGAAAGGACCTTAACATTATCCAGTTCCAACCCCCTGCCGTGGACAAGGACACCTCACATCTGCCCTGAAAGCTGGATGTTGAGTTGCAAAAAGAAGTTCCAGCTCTGATCACACCTCTGAACATGTAGTGGGTGAGTGGCACATGGTCTCAGGGCTACAGGATCCATCCCAGCAAAGATGACTGACTGGGTGCTGTGCCATCATGTTTGGAAGTAGGGATTTTTCAAACCCATGCACTTCAAGCTCCTCCTCTTGCTCCTGGTGTAGGAGTTATTTCCCTCTTAAAGACCACTGTCACTGGGGCAGGAATGTCTGTTCCCTCTTGCTCACAGCCTGCTCACCTAGCTGGCTCAGACACCTTTGGCTGCCCACCCTCACCTCGATGTCAGTAACCCCTCCCTGTGGTTCTTTTGTCTCCTCTGACAGTAGCTATTGATGGAAGACCACGGGGTGACCCAAACAGAGCACATGGCCACCATCGAGGCCCATGCAGTGGCCCAGCAAGTGCAGCAGGTCCATGTGGCCACCTACACAGAGCACAGCATGCTGAGTGCGGATGAGGACTCACCATCTTCACCAGAGGACACGTCCTACGATGACTCTGACATCCTCAACTCCACGGCTACCGATGAAGTCACCGCTCACCTGGCTGCAGCAGGTACAGTCAGTGTTATTCACCTAACACAGCATTCACAGAGTGCTTTGGGTTGGAAAGGGCCTTAAGATCATGCAGCTCCAACCCCTGCCCCGGCCAGGGACACCTTCCACTAGAGCAGGTTGCTCCAAGCCCCTGTGTCCAACCTGGCCTTGAACACTGCCAGGGATGGGGCAGCCACAGCTTCTCTGGGCACCCTGTGCCAGCGCCTCAGCACCCTCACAGGGAAGAGCTTCTGCCTTATCTCCAACCTGAACTTCCCCTGTTTCAGTCTGAACCCATCACCCCTTGTCCTGTCACTCCAGTCCCTGATGAAGGTCCCTCTCCAGCATCCTTGTAGCCCCCTTCAGACCCTGGAAGCTGCTCTGAGGTCTCCAGCAGCTTCTCTTCTCCAGGCTGAACAGCCCCAATGTTCTCAGCCTGTCTCCATACGGGAGCTGCTCCAGCCCCTGCTCATCCTCGCGTCCATGCAGAGGTTGCAAGCAGCACTTGAAGGTGGTGGGTGATCTTGCACCCACGGGATGCTCTGAATATCTCTTATTGCCCTTGCTTATTGACCTTCTTCACAAGGTCTGCCAGCTGCTTGGATATTGCATCACTTTATCTGTGTGTAAAAAGAGGGATAAGAGACTGGTTTGTGCAATGAAAAAGGTCCTTGGTAAGTGCTGCCTCCAATAATGAAGCTAAAATGTATGTCAAAGAGCAAGCTTATTTCAGGCCTGTGTAAACAACAGCAAAAATAACCCAGGAGTGCTACACTATCTTGCTTGGCCAAGGAGATGACATTCACATGCAAGGCCTCTCCCAAGGAGATGCTACAAAGGGTCCCCGGCATATCTGGCCTGGGAAAGCATTTCAGAACTCCACATTCCTTCCAGTGAAGCCAAATGGCCTCCACGTTTGCCTTGTACCAGATCGACCTCATTAGGAGAAAAATGCAGTGATAAAGCACTCAGGGTCTGGCCCGACTCTGTATTAGACTTTATCTGCTGAACAGAGCTCTTGATGTGCTTGACTGAACCTGCAAAGTTCCACCACTCCACTGAGCATCCCTTTCCTTAGAAATTTTCCAGCCTTAGTTCCTGCAGGATTCTTGTCCCCTTCTCTTCTAGCACACAAGC